TTGCCTATTTTTATTCTGCTTTCTTCCTGCTGCTTTCCATCAGAAACTTCAGGAGGTCTGGCTGTTGCATATCTATCCAAGCAGGGAGATGACAATTTCCTTGAAATTCTATGAATCTACTTTGTGAGTATGAGTTCTTTGCTGGCACAGTTCAAATGCATGTTAGTAAAAGGAGAGAAGTGTACAAAATAATGAGGTTTTAGCTGACCTGGTTTCTGGTCTGGACACTTGAGGGGGTCACTTATCATCTCTGTACGTTAATTTCACAGTCAAAGAGCAGTAACGTAACGGCCATCTTATAGGCTTCAGCAATATTTTAGAGAAAGGTTTAGCCATAGGTGATGGGCCTCAAGGGAGACTATAAACATGAAAAATAGTGAGCAAACCGTGTGTTGTTTTCATCAGATTCTTAAAGGAATCCAGTGAGCCCCCCAAAAAATTTTTTTTTAATATTCTAGGAGCTTAGGGTGACAGAAGGAAGTAATTAATTCTTCTCCCTGGAGGAGTGTCACATCTAGCTGAGGAGCCAAACGCAATGCACAAGATACAATTAGAGAACCATAAAAGGCAAAGCTATCAAAGAGCTTTATTTCTTGGTGCAGTTTGCTGGGGTCCAGTAAAAGGGGAAGATCAGTGAGCGAGTGCAGCTGAGAAAAATTCCTAGAAAAAGGGAGACTCAACTTTCTCCCATCTCAGGGGTCTTATCTAGGCAGGGTCATGTCAGGCATATAAAGTAGCTGTCCATTGCTTCCCTAAAATGCTAGCCATACAGGTTATAAAGATCAAATCATTTACTAGTTTATAACTATTTCTAACCATCTATGTTAATTTCAGGGCTTCGAACGAGTTCATTCCAGTTCGAACCCCTGCTGAGGATTTGCATTTCTGCTCCAGATATACCAAATCAGAATCTACAGTTTAACATGATCCCCAGGTGATTCTTATGTACACATTACCTGGGGAGCATGTTAAAATGATAAGAATCACCTGGGAATCGCGTTAAACTGTAGATTCTGATTCAGTATATCTGGGGTGGAAGTGAAAAATTCTCAGCAGGGATTCAAACTGGAATGAACTTGTTCAAAGCCCTGGTTAATTTTAAGGACCCCTGGTGGCACAATGGTTAAGTGCTAGGCTGCTAACTGAAAGGTCCACAGTTCAAACCCACCTTTGGCTCTGCTGGAGAAAAGACGTGGCAATCTGCTCCTGTAAAGATTACAGCCTAGAAAACCCTATAGGGCAGTTGTACCCTGTCCTATAGGGTTGCTATGAGTCGGAATGGACCCAATGGAACACAACAACAGCAGTGTTAATTTTAGACTCCCTGGATGGTGCCAACAGTTAACACGCTTGTCTGCCAACTGAAAGGTTGGAGGTTCAAGTCCATTCAGACAGTGGCATCACCAGGGGAGTGCAGGGGGTCTGGACTGCACCAAGTGACACTGTCAGAGGGGGTGACACCAAAATGACTGTCTATGAAATTTTTGGGCAGTATTTTAGCAGAAATTTATAATTTTTTATAAAAATACCCCTATAGTTAGTTTTGAAACCAAAAATATTTTTCATAAGCCCAGCTTGTATGTATATCAATATACCTACAAGGCTAAAACTCTGTGCTAATTTACTTTTCGAAATTTTCAATGAGCTCTGGTCAAGCTGTTGTTATTATCCAATTACAGTGACGCTTCAAATCAAGTGGTTTCATCTGCACACACTACAAGCACGTGCTATTTTCATTGCTGCCAGTGTGTTTTATAGTTTCTGATTTTGTCAAATTTTCTGATGTTTTAGCTACAAGATTGAGGTAATTCGTATTTGTGAACAGTATCAATAACTTTCTTGAGAATGAAGTAGTAATTAAAGGAGAAAATCAGAAAAGGCTTCTGGTCAGTTATTAATAATGTTGTAACTAATAATGTCATTCAAGGTAGAAAGATTTTACGAAACAATTTCCTTGTTAGTATTCCTATAATCTAAGAAATATTACATTTAAGCAATTTACAACTTTATTTATCACATATGATTCTATGATTAAAATTGATAATAAACATTACGAAGGATTCTGTATGGTCTGGTACAGGAGGAGGTCCATTGAGGGGGGTGACAACGTGAGTGACTGCACTAGGCGACACCAGCCCTAGTGACGCCACTGCACCCATGGACGCCACAGAAGAAAACCCTGGAGATCTACTTCTGAAAAATTAGCCATTGACAACCCTACAGAACACAGTTCTACTCCGTCACACATAGAGTCACCATGAGTCAGAATCAACTCCATGGCAACTGGTTTGTGTTCTGTTTATGTTCATTTTAACCACGCTACCTGTTAAAGTCCTGATAGACGGAATACTGCCATTGTTGCTGGGTAATGCTAAGTAGTGTTTCTTTACTTTTTATCACCGCTCTCTCCCTTTGTCTATGTGTAAATCGACTCAGAAAAATGAAACTCGTTTCCCTTAGCCATCTAGTGCCAATGGTTCTCACAGCCTCCACCTAGCTGTCACCTTCAGTGAGTACCACAGGGACAGACTCCTTTTAATCATGCCTGAACAAAAGCAGTTTTCTCGAAGGCAATCTGTCACAAGAGAATTTACGCCTAAATATGCTATTTAGAGAGGTATAAGCACTTCTGCATTCTCTGAGCTACTTCTCCTTTCCCCTCACAGGAATAATTGCAGGGCGTGTACTGTGAAGATACAACCTTATCTCTTTGAGATGGTATCACTATATTTACTGTCATCTTTGTTGTATTTCCTGCTTCACCTTCCTGCTCAGGGACTTGTGCACTTAATTGTCTTCACAGGAAATATATTCACATATGTGGTGTTTGAAAGATGTACTCAAAAGGAAAGTGATTATGTTCCGAAAACTAAAACTAAAAATTTACTGTTAGATTATTAGTTGGTTAGGAGTAAATGAGCTTCAACCCTCGCCTGTTTTTTCTTAGTCAAAATTCTTAAAAAGATATTTTGGAAAGACTGCTGAATTTATTTCAATAGCAACTGAAAATTATCTTAATCTTCATTGGGAAATAAGCACAAATTGAAATGAAATTAAAATGAGTGAATTGAAATTTAAAATTCTCTTAGCCAGAAATGTTTCCAGTTGTTTAATGAAGTGCTAGATTTCTGTTTGTAGAGAAAATCACAGAATGCTCAACAGTAAGCAATTATGCAGCACATGATAAAACTCTGTTGATAAACTTAGTGGTAGCCAGTGGCAGAGTATCTACTTCTACCGGCAAAGCTTGCCTGGTGCTCTGTTCGCCACCTGCCACTTGCCTGCATGCACTTTGGAATCACCTGGGGAGCTTTTAAATGTCTGGGTCTCAAACCCACAGATTCTGATTTAATAGTTGGGGGCAAAGGGAAAGACTGGGAATTGAGTTTTTTTAAAGCTTCTGGGATAATTTTAATTTGCAGCTAACGTTGGAACCACTGATTGAGACCCTACATTGTACCTGCACTGTGATCATATTTGTTCCAACAGAATGGTGAGAAACTTTCTGTTTAAAGACGAAGAATGCCTCCATTTCAAGGCCTTCCTAGGTCTTCTTCTGCCAAATGCATTTTATCTAAAAGCATGCCTAGTTCCAATACCTCGGTCTTGCCTTCATTTTCCCCTGCATTTGTTCAATAAGCTTGATGGAACAGTGTTTAACAGCTTGGCTGCTAACCAAAAGGTTGGCAGTTCAAATCCACCAGCTGCTTCTTGGAAACTCTAGGGGACAGTTCTACTCTGATCTATAGGGTCACTATGAGTTAAAATCGACTCGATGGCAACAGGTTTATATTGAACATTTATTATGTACCAGAACCATGCAATTTCAGTTTCCTGACTACCCACCTAGCTTCTGAGCACACCTACAATCCCACCCCTCTTATAAGCTGAAGGTTTTTGGACAATCCCAGGAGCCTTTCTGTCTCTGGAGCTTGCCCCTGTCCTGGCTTTCCTGCCTTGTTGAAGTGATGATGCTACCCATATTTCTAATATCTTGATTTTGAAAAACATTTTAAGGAATAAATAGTATGTAACATCTTTTCTAAGAAGGAATTTTGTATGGCTATGGTAGTAATTAGTATTAGCACATCATCGAGTGTAGAAATCCAGTAACCCTTTACTAGGTAAACGCTATGGTACTTACAACAAGATCTAGCAAGTTGCAGCCCAAAATTAAGTCAACAGTTGCCTTTCCTTTGACATAGGAAACAAAGATGATCTTCTTTTCTTGAAATTGCTTTATTATCAGGCTATAAGTTCACAATAAAGGGGATAAATTCATGTACCAGAATGTGTTCAGAGGGGTAATATGGTAGCGGTGGGAAATCTGAATATTTAGGATGAAATATCATGCCTTTAACTCAAGCATATCTAGTTCAATATTGTGAGAGACTGAGGCACCTGATACTAACAAATATTACAAGAAAATGAGCACATGAACCTAGATTGACATATATTTTATTTTTTAATGAAGTGAACGGCATCCTATGATAAGCTTATGAATGTTTTGACTATTTAAATATTGGCATGATGGATTTCAACACGTTTGGAATTGTCATTGACTAACATTATCATGTTGCTTTTGTTCTTTTTAAGATTACAGCTATGCTTTTACACATGTATTACATATTTTAGAGTAGAAAATTTAAAAAACTGAGCAAAGTACAAAACAAAAATAACATGTAATAATACCTCCATCCAAGTCAAACACTGTCAGCATTTGGGTGTGGGTCTTTAAAAATATATATATATATATATCTCCACAAATGTAGATTTTATATAAAACAGACTAACAATGTACACAGAATTTAATAATTTAATATACGGGCACTTCTTAAAAAATTCTATGTCAGTCTTTCAGACTTCAAAGCTTTACCTGTACCTGCTGTCATATTATTAAATATAATAACTAGATAGACTTTGGCCGGTTATACAAATTCTCTAAGATCTAGGATAACATGCAAATACAACCTCACATATCAGTGTGTGAAAGCTGGACAGACCACACAGTTCAAAAAAGGAAGTACACCCTGCAGGGCTAACTTGCACAGTCACTGACCAAGTTACAGCATCTTCAGAGTCACTGTGCCAGGCACACCAACTTTTCCCAATAAAAATGGTAAGTAATAGATTTTACGACTCTTCCTGTCTCCTGATAAATTTTCTAATCTTCTGTAACTAGAGCAGAGGAGGACAAGGGTGCTTCAAAACCAAGTCCTCCAAGCCTTTGGAATTCTTGCTTGTCCTGTTGTTCCGTGAGCTAATGAAGCTGCTGAGTCTTTATTATACCAGTTGAGAGACAGAAACTATGGCTTTTAGGAGTTCCTTTTTTGATTCTAGCCTTCAGAATACAGGAAGAACTATGCCTTACAGAAAGAAAAGTTACATTCTTTGTCTTTACCTCTTATGATAGCTGGGTGCCGAAACCAATAATACAGTCAAGTTTTGTATTACGAGCACTTTGGATTCCAGAAAAGGACCTCAGTGATACATGTTGGGCAATATTGCTGATGATGAGTGCCATTTTGATAACACAGTGAATTTTAAAGGAGTTCTTTTGCTTTTTAAAAAAATGTATTTTATAACTTTAATTAAAAGAAAGAAACAAAACCCAAACAGTCCAAACCTTAGGGACAGATTGTGTTCTCAAAGTTAATTGAAAGTCATAGTTTGGAGCACATCTAAAATACTGGCTGGGTTCCCAGTTGTATCATAAAAACAATGTAATATAGCTGAACTAAAGCATTAATATTCTTCTATAGAGTTTCCCATTATTTCTCTGGGAAAATTGGCTCCCAAAATAAAATAAAAATATATATTTATATATATATCTGTATGTATGTATGGTGTTCTTATGCTCCCAGGGTAGAGAAGGGAGCCAACTCTACGTCCCACAACTCTCCCAAAACTCTAGCCCCTAGAAGACTGGAGATATGTTATCCCTTCTCTTGTTATGGAGCCCCTGGTGGCATGGTGGTTAGGAGCTTGGCTGCTAACCAAAAGGTTGGCCGTTTGAATCCACCAGCCGCTCCTTGGAAACCCTATGAGGCAGTTCTACTCTGTCCTGTAGGGTCGTTATGGGTCAGAATGTACTAGACGGCAACGAGTCAGTCTGTTAATATGGAGAGGATTACTTCCTTTTGGCATCCACAGGTCAGAAGACAGGGATTGAGATAATGACTCCTACAAGCGCTTCACTTTGAGGGTGGGGAGCATTGCAGACGTTTGAATAGGGAGGACAAAGCTTTCATAGGATGTGTGTGTAGTCTGGAAGCTCTTTGAACCAGGTTCTAGAAAGTGGAAAAAGTGAGACAGTATAACTTTGCCATGGGAGAGGGAGGAGGAAGGAAGAAAGGCGGATGGAATTAGAGTTGCTGAAGTCATGTTGTTAGCTGCCATGGAGTTGCCCCCCACTCATGACAACCCCCACTCATGCACAACGGAAAAAAGGCTGCCCAGTCCTGTTTTCACATGGACCGCTGTGATCCTTAGGGTTTTCGTTGGTTGATTTTCAGAAGCAGATCACCAGGTCTTCCTAGTTGGTTTTAGCGTAGAAGCTCCACTGAAACTTTCACATCATAAAACCAAAAACAAAAAACCAACAAAAAGCCCACTGCCCTCGAGTAGATTCCACCCATAGCCACCCTACTGGACAGAGTAGAACCGCCCCATAGGGTTTCCAAGGCTATAAATCTTTACGGAAGCAGACCGCAACATCTTTCGCTTGTGGACCCCCTGGCGGTTTCTCACTACTGACTTTCTAGTTAGGGTCCGAAGGCTTTAACCACTGCACCACCTGGGCTCTTTCAGCATCATAGCAACACTGACAGATGAGTGGTGGCTGAGCATGATATGCATTGGTTAGGAACTGAACCCTGGTGGGAGCCACTGCCTCTACTGAAGCCACAGGGAGGGAAATGCCCAGTGGTGGAGGAAATGGTAGACATGACACTCTGCAGCCCTGCCAGCAAAGGAAGGAAGTCACAGGTTGAGGTAAGACTTATAAATCCCCTCTGGTGTTTCCAAACTAGACTTTAGGTCCAGGATTCTTAGAAAACACTTTGACCGTAATTACTAGTATCCTCTTCAAAAATAAATGAGGGTACTGTGGTTTACAGAGAGCTATTCGGATTTTCTTAGGGGAAACACAATAATACAGAAAAAAGAAAGCTTAACTGGATAGTGTGTATTTCATGTAATACATAAGCAATAGTGTCTTAAAAGATTACTGTTTTGTTATTATAAAAGTAACATTGTTTTTTAATTCCTTAAAAATATAGATAGGCAAAAATGAAACAATAAGCATTTGCTATAGCCCTATCACCTAGGGGACAATCATTGCTAAGTTGAATTTCATCATTTTAAATATATATTTTATAAATGCAATTTTCTGTAAGTGCTAATATACTTTACATTTTTCTGACCTGCTTTTTAATTTAACATATCATGAATAATTTCTGAGTTATAGTATATATGTGTGTGTGTGTATATATATATATATAGTCACTTTTAATGACTATATAGTATTCCATAATTTATTTATTCAGTTCCATATAGTTGGACTTTTAGGTTATTTTTTTCTTTTTTTATGGTATTATAAGCAAGACTGTCATAAGCAGCCGTTTATATACATTGTCTGATTATTCTCCATTGATTGAATGACTGAGAGAATAGTTAGGTGAAAAAATACATACATTAAGACTTTAACACAAGTTACACTCTGGTTAAACAAAACCTTTTAAGTTTTCTGACTGGATAGTGGCATAGTAAATGAGTTTCTCATTTGCAATTAAGATACACACATGCCTATCTTTGTAGCCTGTCAAGATGACACTTACAGGGGTAAGATTTTTCCCCTTAATTCCTTTCCCCCCAACATTGTCTCTGACATTCTATGTCAGGTTGCAGAAAGGCACGTAAAGTATTAAGGGAAGGAAAAAACTTTCTACTTTTTCTCTTTGAAAGTACAGTCCAAAGGCCATATTCGGGCTTCTTATATATTAGCTTTGCTTACTAGCTGTGTGTTTTTTCACAAGTCACTTAAGCTCTGAGTTTATTTCCATATCCAAAAATAATGATGATGATGATGTGGAGTTGGAGGAGGATGACTGGGATAATGATTGTAACTTTCGCACAGTGTTGTTGGGGAGAATAAACAAGATTGCATCCACAGAACACCTATTATACAGCAGGCACAAGGCAGACACTGGATGAATGTTAGTTTTCTACCTTCCCACCCTAAATATGATGTCTCAGTGGTTAAGAGCTATGGCTGCTAACCAAAAGGTCAGCAGTTCGAATCTACCAGCCACTCCTTGGAAACCCTGTGGGGCAGTTCTAATCTGTCCTATAGTATCGCTGTGAATCAGAATCTACTCAATGGCAATAGGTTTGGTTTGGGGTTTTTTACCCTAAAGATATAATTTCTTAAGGAGGCATAGAAACTCCCAGTGAATACAGGAGGAGAATGACAATGGCAGTTAATATTTATGAACTCTGACATACACTTTTGGTTTATTGTTAGGTGCCGTTGAGTCAGTTCCGATTCATAGCGACCCTATGTAAACACAACGAAACACTGCCTTGCCCTGCACCATCCACACAATTGTTGCTATGTTTGAGCCCATTGTTGCAGTCACTGTGTCAATCTATCTTGTTGAGGGTCTTCCTCTTTTTTTTGATGACCCTTTACTTTACCAAGCATGATGTCCTTCTCCAGGGACTGGTTCCACCCTGCTGAGAAGATGTCCAAAGCACATGAGACGAAGTCTTGCCATACTTGCTTCTAAGGAGAATTCTGGCTGTAGGTCTTCCAAGACAGATTTGTTCATTATTTTGGCAGTCCATGGTATATTCTATATTCTTCACCAAGACTATAATTCAAATGCATCAATTCTTCTTTGGTCTTCTTTATCCATTGTCCAGCTTTCACATGCATATGAGGTGATTGAAAATATTGAAATATTGAAAACACCATGGCTTGGGTGAGGTGCAACTTAGTCTTCAAGGTGACATCTTTGCTTAACACTTTAAAGAGGTCTTTTGTAACAGATTTGCCCACTGCAATACGTCATTTGATTTCTTGACTCTTTCTTCCATTGGCATCGATTGTGGATCCAAGTAAAATGAAGTCCTTGACAACTTCAATTTTTTCTCCATTTATCGTGATGTTGCTTTTGGTCCAGTTGTGAGGATTTTTCTTTATGTTGAAGTGTAACCCATACTGAACACTGTCATCTTTGATCTTCATCTGTACTTCAAATCCTCTTTGCTTTGAGCAAGCAAGGTTGTGTCATCTGCACAACACAGGTTGTTAATGAGTCTTCCTCCAATCCTCATGCTCTGTTCTTCTTCATATAGTCCAGCTTCTTGGATTATTTCCTCAGCATACAGATTGCATATGCTGTTGGTTTAGGGAAAACCAGTATCTTAAGGAGGCATACATTATCTCATTGAATTCCCACAACAATCCTTACAAATAGTTACTACAATTACCCCTATTTTATAGCGGAATTAACTGAATCTTGGAAAAAGTTAAGTAACTTGCTCAGTCACACAGCTAGCAAATAATAGGACTGGAATTTGAGCCCAATTCTATCTGCTCTTAGAGTTTGAGCTTTTCTATATCATACTACATTGGAGAAAAGACAGATGTCAAGGAAGACAAATGCTGGTAAAAGAAAAACCCAGGACTGGCCTTTAGAAGTGTGAGGGGCCTTTTCTCAGTCTGGTGACCATCCTGGTAACTCTGGGAATCAGCTGTCCTAAATCTTCTGCTACTGCCACTACTGATTTTCCTATTTTCAGAATGCTCACCTTATAGAAATGTTGCAGAAGCCACTGGGATGGGAGATTGAAGGGGTTCATTGGCTTTGTTGTTCCCTACCCTAGTGTTCTGAGTTGTTGTGTGCTGTTGAGTCAATTCCAACTAACAGCAACTCTATAGACCAGAGTGGAACTGCTCCCTAGGGTTTCCAAGGAGTGGCTGGTGGATTCAAACTGCCGACCTTTCGATCAGCAGCCTGAGTTCTTAACTACTTTGCCACCAGGGCTCCGGGGTTCTGAGAGGGGGATTAAGTACCCCCTAAATGACAAGAATGGGGGCTTGGACTTCTACAG